GGATTTTAAATAAGTTTAATATTCATTGTTGTTTTGATAAAAAAGCAATACTATTTGGTAAATATGAAAATATGAATGTTTATAAATTTCAAAACCTTTTAATACTTATTGTAAAACAATTTATTTTTGCCTGTAAATATAAGAATGTTCCAAGAATAGATGCTGAAGCTGTATTAAAGAGGATCACAGATAGAATTTTGATTGAAAAATTTTTATTGATGAAGAATTGTAAATATGAAGAATATGAAAGGCATTGGCAAAATATTTGTGATATATTGTAAGTAATAGAGTTACATATACAAGCTTATATATACATGTTCATCCTATAATTTATTTGAGTGATTTTTTTATTTTTTTGTATTAATTGTAATAGAAGAAAGGTTTTTTTCTTGCTGACCCCCCCCCCCCCCCCCCCATTTTCTTTGTATTTTAAAAAAAAAAAAAAAAAAAAAAAAAAACACCTTTCACATTCTATAAACATAACTCTATATTGTGTGTAGACCTGATGTTATTGTGTACCAAATGATGAAAATTATTTTATATGTACATGTGAAAGTGTTAAAATAAAAAAAAAAGGAGGGAGGGGGGTATCAGGCGTTTAAATTGAGGGGACACGAGTATATAGTAGTAATGTTTTCTATAGTATCAATACCTGTTTTCAAAAGTATACTGTATGCTTTCTATAGTATTCTATATATCGGCAAATAATGATAAGAAATGGCCTTTGCGACAATTTAAAGGGAAACCTGAAGTCTGTCAAATCTGGGATAGACAAAATTAATTCATTCTATGAAGTATAAATGTATACAATTTAGGACAATGAAGCCACTTTAATTCAACAACGATATTCCCGATTTGAAATAGGGTACATTTAATTAATAGATAAAAAATGATGGAAAAAATATGTATGTTTGAAAATGTTCTCAAATCCAGTAAGATGTTTTTCTTCTTACATCGATGCACATTTGTTATAATTTTTGCACCCCTGGCCTTTAATACGTTTATTGCGAGAAAAAGAAAACACATGACACTAAAATTGTGCCACGCTGTTGGTAAACTTAGCAATGATTATATCGGGAAATTGAATTCACTGATTGTATGCTTGATTTTGAGTGAATTGTTGATTAATTCAAAATTTTTTTCGAGTAGGCATACGAAAATAATGACGTCGTACCAACGTAATATCACGTCATGGTGAAAATGTAATACTTTTGATGAAAAATTGTAAAACTTTCAAGATTTTTTTGCGGGAAAATGAGCGAGAACACATAATATTCTTTTTTAATAGATCGATTCTAAAATTTACTTCACATTTATTGTATCGAGTAATATAAAATTTGTCTGCTTCGTTTTAATGTTATGATTATGGTATTGAATTGTGTATACCAGCAGAAAATAGCCATTTACAATATATTTGTTTCAGAAAACGTCACCTATTCTCATCAACATTAGTGCGATTGAATAACGATTACAATCTCTTGCGCGGATCTAGAGGGGGGGGGGGGGGGTCGGGGGGATCAGGACCCCCCCTGGAATTTACACGGTTAAAAAAATGTGTATAATAAAGCAACAAAAAAGTCACCTTGGATCCCCCCCCCCCCCTGGAAAACGCTGATCCCGCTGGAGAACATGAATATGTGTGAAATGGGTATGAAAAGATAAAGATTTGAGGCAATAGAAGTCAAAGACAACCCTCCCCTCCCCCCTCCCCCCCCCCCCACGAAATAGGTTTTTCACGTTTGGGCGAGTTAAGGTTTTATTTTTGACTGGGTGGACCCCCCCTGGAAAAAAATTCTGGATCCGCGCCTGAATCTAACCACGCAGACGAATCTCAAAGTTTTTCAGAGAGAAAAATTTAAAACAAGAGGAGTTAGCGGACAAATTTTTAGCCTATGTTTTCAGGTAGACAGTTAACCCGCGTTCTACCTTAAATGATATTTAATCTAAAATGTAAGCTTCTTTCCTTCGGTGAAAATATTTAATTAAAACATATTTATAACAGAGTATTTTTCGTAAAGTCAAGTGGGGTTCAACACGTTAACGCATTACTAACTTTGTTTGCGCTCATCATTGCAGTCGTGAAACGTCATTTTTCAAAGAATGACATCAATGCATGAATAAAGGAACAAATATTAAGGGTCCTCCATACACACACTGCTAATGTTTTCATCTTTCTTGAGCATTACTTTTAACAAGCACATCAATCTTTAAAAACTGTCTAGGGATGAAAATGTTATTTATACTGAATTTTTAAATAATTATTTTATTTCCAGAAATTTTTCCTAAGGCATTTTCATTCTCAGCACAACAAATTTTGTTTAATCTTTGCTACCTAAAAGTAACAGATTTTAATCCCACATAGAATTTATTCTTAGACTTCAATCCGTGTTTCTTTACATGAGAATTGTCATACTACTGTTTGCAAAATAATTCCTAAATTAGATTAAAGTTAACAAACATCTTTGTTCTAAATATATTTTGATCTTGATGGATTGTTTTTTATCTTGACGATTTTCATATATTCAAATAGCGACCAATAGTTATTTATTGCCATAGATACTCAGAATAATATATAGGAAATAACAAGAAAACATTGATGTAACCAGCAATTGTCGCCCGGGAAATAAATAACGTAAACAATGGAAATAAGTCTTGATCATCAAACTGCTTTGATATGTGTGAAAAGGCATGCGTCTAATGGATGGAGACGATAGTGGCGAATATTTTGAAAACTCATAGTCAATCGCATCATCTCGGGTCTTTCCGTCAGAGGTCGGAAAAACAACCTCGAATGTATTAACATCACCGGATGTTAAAAATTTATACATATCCTGTTTATTCAAATATAAGATATACGGAGTTAGAAGTCCTTTCTATAGTATATTTTAGGTAATATCATTACATTGAATAGAGTTAAATACCCTATTCCACAGATAAAAGGTCTCCATGCATTTATTTCAAAGATCGTGAAAAGGGGGAGTTGTAATGGCGTCTTCCTAGTACATTCGAGGTCGTTTTTCCGCTAGTCGGAAAGGCACGAGAAGTTGCGACTGAACTCATAGTCGGATAAAAATCAAACAAAAAAGATTCCATTTTAAACTTGATCATTTCCTCAAGTAAATGTTGGCTGCATAAAATATAAATTGAAGTTAGACAAATGCATCACTTGTATTCAAAAATGTAATTTAATATTCAATTTTCGAATATAAAACACGAACTGTGCAGAGTACGTTTTTATACGAGAAGTAAAATTTGATGTTCTAAAAAAAGGGACCTGTCATTTTTTCCATAGTAAATGCTAAGCAACTTTATATATTAAATATGAAAAACATATATATTTTTACAGATTCACTTTATGGAAGTAAATATATTATGCATCTCTTAGTTTATAAAGGAAAGAACATTCTGATTATAATATAATAATCTTTTCAATGTTTAGAAAACCTTTAATTCTGAATAACTACTCCCGCCCCAATCCCTATACACCAACACTTAAACTTATATGTATAGAGCAGCCCGGTCCTCCGGGCTGCAATTAAACACCTTGCAATGGTCTTGGAAAACAGGGGGCACCCAAAATATGATACGGAAGATTAATTTTTTTTAGCTTTTGCATTTACTTTATAATTATTATTATAGCAAAAATTATTGCTAAATTATTATTGCGATTAAACGCAATAAAAAATATTTCTCTCTCTGAACTGGCCTCAATTGGCTTCTGTATCCAACAGCTTTGAAAATTAAGTAAATGCAAAAGCTAAAAAAAATTAATCTTCCGTATCATATTTAACGCAAAAATTATTGCAATTAAACGCAAAAATTATTGCAATTAAACGCAAAAATATTATTGCGTTTAAACGCAATAATTATTGCGTAAAATAGCAATATTATTTCGTTTAATCGCAAAAGATTGCGTTTAATTGCAATCTTTTGCGATTAAACGCAAAGTGTTTTGCGTTTTAACGCAATGAATATTGCGATTAAACGCAAAGTTTTGCGTTTAAACGCAATAATTATTGCGATTTAACGCAATGTTTTGCGTTTAAACGCAATAATTATTGCGATTAAACGCAATAAAAAATATTTGTTTCTCTGAATTGGCCTCAACGGGCTTTCGTTGTTGGAGATATAAAGAATAAATTATTTAGTTTCCTCCACAAAGAATTTTACGTATCTATTAATACCGCCTATCTTTTTAATTCCTCCCATTGACTATCAACTTACTCTCCTTTTAACTCGTTTCAACATTTTTTTTCACAATAAAGATGAAAATGCTTTACTCGTTTCTCGGAAATTATAATGCATGATTATATTACAACTCATTGCTACCAAATCTGCAGATCACATTTGCATGTATAACTGTGAAAAGTCATTAGTTTATGAATTTATATATAACATCACTATAAATGTGTTAGTTCAAATGTATAAATACTTATAAAAATCATTTTTTCTGTATCTTAGATGTCGATTTTTTTAAGGCTTGAAGTTTGTAGAGGATTTTTTTTTTCATGTCCTGACAAAATTTCAAGTAAAGCGCAGAACACTTGTTTAAAGTATTGATTTTAGGAGCATTTTGATATTCAGATAGAATATGTTTTACATACAACATTTCAAAAATAACTTCTTAGATTTTGTAGCAAATATATAGGATTTGTTGTTCTGAGCTATGCATTGAAATCATGTAATCTATGTAAAAGACCTGTCTGTTCTGCAATAATTATATATAGATATTCTGGACGTCGAGTATGAATCATGATATCTCAACACCCATCGTGATATCTCGACATTTTCCGATCGACCGATATCGAGATAACGAAGAAACAATCTACATTGATACTTAATGAATGTTGCGGTATCTTTGTCTGCAAATGATCGTTGGAAATCATAAAATAAATAAGATACGCATACAAGAAAGATTAATTTTAGAAGTTTCTGAAAAAAGTACATTTCAAATTAACATACGGTCATGTATAATGATAAACCATTTTTATTTCAGCATTGGATAATCTCGCGCTTTCTCGGACAAAATGGAACATTCTAGTTTCTATTCTGATGCCAGAGGGTTACAGTTTATCCTTAAACTCACCTTGGGAGGAATTATTAACAAGACTGCAAAGTGCTTTCCCTTTATTAAGGTGCGGGTCAAGAATGTCAGAAAGTGATATCACTGAATTGACTGATATTTATAAAGTTTTAATCAAGAAGAACAGCTCAGTCAGTTTTATATCAGATGATGTCCGCCATGAGGTGATGAGTTACTTCGTGAAGAATTGTCTAATAACTGACGAGGACTACGAGAATTATATCAAGTTGTCTTCAGTGGACTCTTTGTTGGAGTACGTACGACCGTGGTGGTATGAAGATGATGAAATTAACATATGCCGCGAAAAAGTTTTGTTCCTACCGGAGAGTTTAGAGGATTTATTTATACAAAGACTTGGAGTAGACATCCTTCGTCATGTCATGGTGGAGTGGAATGAGTCGACTCAAGATAGCATTGAAAAAATCAGAGAGGCAATTCAAAAAAAGTGTGAGTAACACTTCTACACAAAATAATAAAAGAACATTTTTAAAACATTTTAAAAAAAAAATATCTGTTGAACATTTACAAGATAAAATCTTAAATTTATGCATTATAGAAAGTTTTTTTTTTACTTTAAAATTTATCTGAAAAATCATATAATGTTTTGTATTGATTCATGTCTTATTCTGGTACTGTAATCCTTTTAACAACAAAATCTTAAGATAAAATTTTATCGTAAAAGAAAACTCGTGATTTTGTTCCTTTCAAACAAAACTCTCTCGATTTTCTTAAGAGTTAAATTTATTGTAATCTTAATAGAGCTCCCATCCTCTCGAAAGTAGAAGATTTCAATTAAAAAAAAACAGATAAAATTAAATCTACCTTTAACATGTTTAAAAGAACTTCTTTACGGTTAAACTAGTGGCGTGTTTAATCATTTCAAGATTAACCTCCAGAAATTAAATGATTTCTATTAAAGAAAATAACGAAGGCATTATCTGATATGACCCATTTTAACCGTTTTCATTGGTAAAGGTGTACTGCATTTACATGTTGGTCGTATGGATTACATGTAATTCTACATTATCACGGGTTCATGGACGCCGAATTAATGTTATAACAATTTATAAGGACACAAAAAACGTGTAAAGCGTAATAGAAAGAGAATGTAGAATAATGCTTTTTCACCGTAACTTACCACACATTTCTTACAGATCATGTTATATATACACAGGTAACAATTATGATATTTTATATTCCCATTTTTATTCCAGGCTGCGAAATTTGACAATCTGCCTTATTTTCTTTATCAAATTTCTTGACATAATTTAACCTTTTTGCATATATATCTCGTAGTAACATAGTTTAAATCCTTTTAGAAGTATTGTTAGCATTTTTGTGTCTGTTCACGGTATAATTGTCATGTACAATTCCTAAATATATAAGAAGTTTACACTAACAAAGGTTTGTTTTGAAAAAAAATTCTTAAGTTAAAATAGTTCAAAACCATGTGTTTTATTTATTTTCTCATGGGTTTGCCTAAATGTCGTTATCTGATTAGTCAGAAAGATTAGCACCTTGTTTAGTCTCTTTATTTATAGCAGTTTATAATTATCGTTCTTGACTTGAATTGTTGAAAACTGTCAGAACTTGTTCATGATTGGCAACAGATGATTATCTTTTTTGCTTTCATTTCATAGTTGTATAAGATAGATATCTGTTATTCTTACAAAGGATCAGTATGCAATAAAGATTATTATACTTTCATGTTAAATACTAAAATCTTATTGGTTTAGACGCAGTTAACAATCCGTTCTATTACCCTCAGCCTTAGCAACACATGTGACAACGGGTAACACAACGGTAATGCCACATACGTGGATATTATGCGCGTACGTTTCACCGTTGAATTTTCAACACGTCAGTTGCGCGTTTGAAAGAATTGGAATAAACTTGACGTCAATAAAAGCTTGCGTCCGATGTAGCTTACTTGAAAACAACAAACGACAGACGAAACATGCTTGCGAGTGCAAAAATAACGAAACTTAATATGATAAAAGACTCAGAGTATCAAACAAACAATAAAAAGGTCAGTAAATCTTTTGAGAAGTAGCGAGGAGTTTGAAAGCTTTCTGAACGTGAACGTAAAGATGATCGTGGATTTTTTTTTGCTGACTTAATTTAAGAAGACATTCAGTATTATAAAATTAATGGTGCCTGTTTTGGAGGGTAAAAGTTGAAATTGACACCCCAAGGAAAACCATTGTCAACCTTCGCGGTCGCGTCGGTTGTCAATGGTTTTCCTTGGGGTGTCAATTTCAAATGTTACCCTCCAAAACAGGCACCATTTATATAATATCATAAAAATAAACAAAACCCATTCCAGATAACATATCGAAAGATTTTGATCATTAATTAAAAAAAGTTGTACACTCAGAAGTAAACCGTGGTGATAAATATTTCTTAGTTCTTACCTGTATCATTCAGACTTTTCTTTTTGAAGATACAAAGAAGTATAAATAATATAAACGGAAAGAGCAAATCGGACTTATATATTTTAGACTAGATGTTCTTGATCAAACTCTGTTTGTTTATTAAACACCACTCTTTCACTTCCCATTTTATTTCATATCCAAATTTTTTTCTTACATGCTTTATTTTACTCTTATAAAATACTTTATCAAAACGTTAAATTTTTGAAGTACATGTACTTACTGATAAAAAAAAAATAAAGGGCCATAGGATAAGTAGTAGGTCATAAACTTTTTTATTTGAAAGTAAAGAATATGGCTACCATCAAATGTCAACAATGTTCAGTAGGTTTTTTTTTTATCACTGGAATTCATTGCTCTCTGAATAAAAATCGTCTTTAAATGAATATTCTGAATGACGAGAGGTTTAAAATGATCAAACTTGGTATGTTGTTAAGTTAAAGCATGGACGTAAACCTTGGAAATCACTGTCCCGGCTTCAAGCGCCGTGAAAGTAAACTCCTACAATTTTATTCCATGTATAAATGTAAATGAAACACAATCACTGTAGAGTTTGTTGAGTATGACAGGGAAATCAACGATTGTTGGAAACTTTAGAGTAATTTTTGCATATCAAGTTAGGTCGTAATGCATAAATTATCCCGCGTTTCCAACTATTGTTAAGACATTGGCATTCCCAACAAACTTATCCATAATTCCTTTGATATTTCGAATATAAAAAGTTGAAGTACAATCTCGCCGAAGAGGTAATCAATAAATAAGCGCAAAATTCGACCCCGATGCAAATTACGTTTCTTCCATTACAAACACAATTATCAACCGACGAACAAATTCGATTCAAATTCCCGAAAAAGTTCTTAAATCTCCGCATGATTCTATTGAATTGATGAAATCATTTATTCAATTTAGCGAGCAAATGAAAATAACATTATCTGATCAAAATGTTAAAGTGCCAGCATGCAATCTCACATCAATGTTCCGTACTGGGCGTCAGATAGATATCTATTTAAAAAAAAAAATCTTTATTTAGTCCCTTTCTTTAAAACAATGAAAATCTTAAATCAATAAAAAGTCTTCCGTGAATAATTGCATAACTATGATTAGTCCTCAATGATTAACCACAGCTGTAAAATAAGTTATATTATAAATATTTTCATTAATTTCAGTAAAACTTCCATCTGTTGTGTTTTGTGAGGAAAATCGGAATAAATTCGTGGAATATGTGAAGAAAATTTCAAAAGAAAAACAAGCTTTCATACATTCTTTGAATCTTAACAGTCTTCTCGGATCGTTTTTAATTGGAGGAGAAGACTACAGCTCTGAAGGTAAGACAACGTAAAATCAGATGTGTTAGTAAATTACACCTAGGACGAGGGTATTTTTTTTCTCAATCAAATTTCCTTATTCAAAGATAAAGAGAGAGTGATAAAGGTAGAGAAAGATTCTTGTTATTTTTCCTTTAAATTTATTTCAATGTTGATCATTCCTTTTCTCAATCCACCTTGATAGAGCGTATTTTTTTTTCTTTTTAGCTACTTCATTGGAGTTCAAAATTACTGATTTATAAAATGATCATAATTCAACTAAAATTGTCACTAAAATTGAAGATACTTTTCCGGATGTAATTTTATCATTTCATTAATTATATACAGAGAAAGTCAGGGTTTGTAGTACATTGAGCCTCATGAAATATGCAGATTTGAAATGTCTTTGTTGTGAACACATTAACACATTGACCAAACTAAACAAATGTTAACAAGTCTACATGTGAAATAATGCATAGAGCGACGGTTTTATAATCAAAATATTATCATCGACCACAATACTCACATATACACAGGAAAAATGTCCGCATGTGTTAAACATATGTTAAACGTGTGTTTAACATGTATTTTTTACACGTGTAAAACACATAAAAAGAGCACACGTGTATAGGGTGTTTATTTTTACACATGTTAAATATATGTTTCACATGTGTTAAACACGTGTAAAAATAAATACACTGTGTATTTATACATATGAAACATGTGTTTAACATGTGTTTTATACATGTTATACTTTTTATGTAAATTATATGCGTATAATATTTCTGTTGAGCTTATAATCATTTTTATACTTTTTATACACCCGTCTTAAGACGGGACGTATTATGTTATAGGCTTCATGTCCGTCCGTCTGTCCGTCTGTCCATTCCTGTCCGGCTCATAACTTGAATACTATTAGGCCTAGGATTATCAAACTTTGTCAACTTATACTTCTTGGGTAGACGGTGTGTCGCGCACAAAAAGTAGGTCGCTCTGACCTTTAATAAAGATGCTATAGCCAAATATGGAAAAATCCTGTCCGGCTCATAACTAGAAAACTATTAGACCTAGAGCTTCAAACTTGGCAAAAGTATACATCTAAAGTAGAAGGTGTGTCGCGGCCTATTTCAAGGTCACTGTGACCTTTAATTAAAGTGAATTTTAAAAAAAAAAGTCTTTTAAAATTCTAAATTTCATAATCCTAAAAAATGTAAAAATATAGTTGTATGCTTATTAAAAAACATTTAATAAAGTAAAAACTTGTTTTTTCATTATATACTTTACAGCAATCTGTAACAAATGTTTATGCTTTGAAAGGAATTCAGTTTGTCCCGTGGGCTTAATTATCAAGCACTGGTCAAGAAGAAATTTGCATGTCAAATTAGAGAGAAATTAATGAGTTTATTGTCAAGGGCTAAGAGCATCTCTAGATCTGATGCAGATGTTATCTTAATTTATCTCTTGGGAGTTGGGCAAAAAAAAAAAATGACCTCATAGTTGCTTGTGCTAATTAAGAGTTCTTGATGGCTAGTCCAGATAAAGATCTTTCAATAGGTGTAATGAAATTAAAACAAATTGATGTTTTAGTGTATGATTAAAACTAAATTAGTATTGTATAATATGATTAAAACTAATTATATATGTGTTCATTGAAAAAAAATTATATTTCAATTTTCATATATTTGCAACAAAGGTGCTATAGCAAAAAATGGAAAAATCCTGTCTGGCTCATAACTAGAAAACCATTAGACCTAGAGCTTTCAAATTTCACAAAAGTATACATCTAAAGTAGAAGGTACGTATGTCGCGGCCTATTTCAAGGTCACTGTGACCTTTAATGAAAATGAATTTTTTAAAAAAACTATGTCTTTTAAATTCTAAATTTCATAATCCTAAAAAAATGTAAAAATATAGTTGTATCCTAATTAAAAAACATTAAATTAAGTAAAAACTTACTTTACAGCAATCTGTAACAAATGTTTATGCTTTGAGAGGAATTCAGTTTGTCCCATGGGCTTAATTATCAAGCACTGGTCAAGAAGAAATTTGCATGTCAAATTAGAGAGAAATTAATGAGTTAATTGTCAGGAGCTAAGAGCATCTCTAGATTATCTAAATTTATCTCTTGGGAGTTGGGCAAAGAGAAATGGCCTCATAGTTGTTGTGTTAATTAAGAGTTCTTGATGGTTAGTCCAGATAAAGATCTTTCAATTGGTGTAATTAATTAAAACAAATTGATGTTTTAGTGTATGATTAAAACTAAATTAGTATTGTACAATATGATTAAAACTAATTATACATGTGTTCATTGAAAAAAAAGAATTATATTTCAATTTTTATATATTTGCGACAAATTGCAGTCATGTCTCACTAGTATTATTTGATTGCGCCCATGACAAAAGGGTCCTTATGGCATTTCTGCTAAAACAGAGAAATAACGTCATAAAGATGTGACGTTGCAGAATGACGGTGAACTTCGACGCAGATTTTTTTTAACCACGTGTTTTGACGTTTGACGCATCCAGAGTTTTTATCGCTGTTTCCAACACGTGGAATTTATTTTCATTTACAAATTAATTTAATCAATATCTGAATCTCCTAATCCATTAATTTTTAAAAGATGTAAATAAAAACATTTAGAACTGGTTTCTTAACAAACGTTATTAAATACGTCTCTAATAATACCAAGTTTTCCTACATGCGTAACTAAATGTATAGAAGCTGTACACAAGGTGTTTTCTGATAGGATAATGAACCTTTATACTCTAGATAAATTTTATTTACATATTTATACCATTTTTAGAATACATCTTAGACAGGGTATATCGTAAAAAAATTGCAAAGGAAAATTGTCTCCCTACTTCTTTTAGATCCGCTCCACCATTCTCAAATATACATCGCGATCGCGTCGATCACACGTAAACATTGATTCATCAGTGCATACTGTTTAAACTGTTGTTGAATTGTTTGTACAAATCTTGAAACATACATCTTCCACGTTTTCTACAAATCTAGCAAGAATGTGTAAGAACGATAGTCAAGATTATTTGTATTTTCTATAAATAAAAATAGGAGAGATAACTCTGATGTCAACAATCGATGTTACAGGGGTACCAGACAGGGACATTCATTTTAATTGCGTACTTTTTCACATTTCAGCTGCATGTTCGCATGAATTTACTCCCGGATTATAAAAGAGATATTTTATGACCAAATAAAAACACTTTTAATCGTCAGCTTAATTATGAATTTTTAAATAAAAAACATATTGTTGTACTTTGGGAATAAGGTTAATGTAGAAAAAGGAAAAACAAAGAAAAAAAAAGAAAAGAAGGAAAACTGCAAAATTGAACAGACTTGATTTTTTTTCAGATCTCTTATCTTTAGCTTTTTTTGCATGAAATAATTTAATGACGAATTTCATTTTTTAAAAAATAATAAAAATGTAAAGCGTCTACCTTATAATCATGATTAAATAAATTAAACTTTAAAAATGTTGTTTTGTCTTATATTCGTGTTGCACAAAGACACTTCAATTTAGAGAAATTAAAACAAGCAAAAACATCCAAATGAAAAAAAATGTTCTTAATGTTCTAACTTAAATAGAGCTGGTCAAGTAAATCTGATGAGAGAAAGAGAGAGAGAGAGAGAGAGAGAGAGAGAGAGGGGATGGAGGGTAGATAAAAATATTTATATTGAATCTATTTATCTAATATTGAGAATTGTGAAACTCTATTGAAAAAGATGAGTTTTAAAAACAAATGAAATAATAAATGAAAGAAAATATCATTTTTGTTCTCTAAACTATATATACATGTATAGCAATTTATTTTCAAGATCTCCAAATTTAATATACATGTAACTCTTTGGTACTTACGTGCTGTTTTTTTTTTCATACGAAGTTCAAATGTTTTAACATTATCTGCAAATTAATTCCTTAAGCCATGACGAACTTTGTCTTTCATATAAAAGCTCGATCAGCATTGAATGTCTCTTAACAGATCAATTATCATGCTAAAAACTCAATCATCACTGAATTGATAATCCCATTGCTGTTATCAGTGTGGAATAATATATTGTTTAACCTGCCATTAAATTATGGATAAATATTATTAAATATGCTCAAATATGATTTTATTTGTTTTGGTTGATAAAAGGTCCTTATAAGTTCAGGGTCGGGTTTTATTTCTACATGTAAATGCTAACAGAAAATAAAATTCAATGCTGAAAATACATGACATAAAACCTCAACAATATGCTTGCATTTCGTTTTATTTTGGCCGCAGTGCAGGGGATGGGGGTGGGGGTGCCCTTATATATTTCCGTAACATGTAGGTTTTACAAGGCTTAGCATATCCAAGCTCCTGGCACCAGGCACGTAGCATCGTTTTTGAAAGTGGGGGGGGGGAGCCAGAGAATTTTTTTTACTTACCTGAAAAAGTTGACAAGCCAAAAAAAAAAGGTTAATGTTGCACAAAGTCGAAAAACCTATTTTGTGGGGGTGGGGGTAGAGCCCACCTTTTTTTAATGGCAACTACTTTCAGTACCAATTTTTATACTACGTTTTCCGTACATCACTAATAGTAGAGGGGGGTAGAGGCCAAATTTTTTTAATGTCAACTACTTTCAGTACCAATTTTTATACTACTTTTCCGTACATCACTAATGGTGGGGGACCAACCAGACTATCAATTATCAATTCCTATAGTATAAGTAAGGCTGGGGAAAAAATGAAAGGCCAGGCCCCCTGCCCCCCCCCCCCCCCCAGTTGCTACGTCCCTGGGCACGGGACCAGAATGGAATTCATACTCTTTAAAACTCACTTTATAGAATAAATTAGAAAACAACATTAGAATGAAGGGGATTTTTTTTTAAATTAAGTTATTAATAATATGATGATTTTCTAAGATGTTTACATCCCTACAAAAATCTGACATTTCAAAGCTCAGCCAGTTCACAGACAATTGTCAGGAAATATATTATACAAAACAGTCATATTCAAATGACTGTATATTTAGGCATAAACAATTACATGTCATTAATCTTTAACCCACCCCTACCCCAACAAAAGCTATTCATATAAACCGTAAATGGCATCTTTAATTTAATTCTATGGGTGTGCTTCTAAACCCATCCATTTCATAAAATAAAACCAGATTTTCTAATTCTAGGGTATCATTATATACATGATTAACAATACTGAATTCATAGCAATTCAGTTCCAGGCTCATAATTTTTATGATCGCTGTGCAATTTTGAAATGGCAATGCTCAGAATTAAAGGTAGAAATATAAAATGAAGACTAATAGGCAGAATTATTTCGAATCTAAATAAAAAAAGTGAATCTGCAAGTTGTAGGGTAAATGGTACTGGGTGCACCTAAAACTTTTGAATTAAAAAAAATATTTTTTATTTATTTTAACTCGTGTTCACAAGAATTGTAAGTTTCTGCCATTTAGATTTTTATCCCCCCCCCTCACCAACATACACATTATCCTACAAATGTTAATCCTGGGTTTATCTATTGTGTAAATGATAGCGGATTATAACTCATTCATTTGTTTGTAAAATTTCCACCTTTTGATTGGTTAATATTGAAATATTTTTACTACTAGACTGAAAAATATTTCGTGCATCCTTTATATTTTCAAAAAAGCAGTATCATTATTGACCCAATGCAGACAGACAACCGTATAGATGCAGTTAATCAACCGAATTTCCTTTTTATTTACTGTCTATTGTGTATCGTAATTACAAATGTACATGTTACATGTACCACACTTCACAATTTTTCTGTCTTTATATATAAAATTTAAAAAGAAAGAACAATCAAATAAATTTTCACTTCACAGTTTCGCAGTAGCATTTAGGTAGCGTAATGATGTTCCAGATATAATTAATTTTTTTTTTTCACATATATGGTAACTAAAGATATATCGTTTATGCTGAAATCTTGACCTATCGAGAGCAATGTTTAAATTAAAATAATTTTCAAATGAATTCTACAGGCTTATCAAATTACTCTTGCATGGATTACCAGTAAATATTTTGTTTGAGAAAATAATTGTTTTAAAAAAAAAATGAATGGATGTTGCCCGCTGTTCAGGTCTCTCCCTGGTGTCATAGAAAAGTGAAATGTAAAACAAACACTCACTCATAATACTATACTCCACTGATGAATCCATAATATATAATTAACTATTAAATAATTATTAATAATTAAAAGAGACAATGAGATAAAAATAATGTGCATAGAAAAATATTAAATATTATACAACTATTAATCACTGTAGTAAAATTACAGAAGAAAATCATCTAACGTTCACTCTGAAAACGTTTGACGTTGTTGAAAAACATGACGTCATTATTAACCTGTTAAAGTATATTTGATAAAAATGAAGAAAAAACCTACTTAGAGTTGACGTAGGACCATAAAAATTCATATTTGACAACTTTTAACCTTATTCTATCAGAATCCGTGAAAAACTCAAAATGCATAAAAATTGCCATAAGGACCCTTTTCACATGGGCGCAATCATTTGTTATAATCAATACCTACACTGTAAGGCTCTTAGAGATGAATAAGAAGAAATGGAAATTAGATAATTGAAATCTGTGTCAATCTGTTAATCAAGGCTACCTGATTTTATTGCATCCTAACCAATTTATGATTACATGTATTGAACAATATTTGACGGGCGTATCATGCTGTGGCGGGGCACTTTATTCATGTCTTTCAAAATAGTTTTGTGGTAATTGAAATCTTAATAATATTATACAGGCAACTTTGCCACATATGATCAACATATGTGTATCATATGAAAAGGGCATCATGCGAAATCATATGAAACAGTCACACATTTTCTTGTACACATTTAAAAATCAGATATTTCTGCTTTAGATGAAAATTCATTACATTCCAATGATCTATCTTCATGGGTTAATATTTGAAAATTAATATCTTATAATGCTTACACAACTTTTTTGATAAAACTATTTTCATCAAGAGAAATAACTTATTTTTCACAGTGTACATTCTAAGCAAGAAAGTATACAAACAAGTAAGTAGCATTTGTCGATACATGTATTTTACATATTAAGTTGAGTACAAATTATAAGATTTTAACAAAATGATTAAATAGAAAAACATGTATACATGTACAAATGAATAACATAATTAAGCCATGTACTTTGTTTATAAATATAACTTGAAATGAAAGTGTCCAAAGCAAAATTGAAATATCAGCAATAATATTTGTCATGTAACCTATATTGTAAATATATGAAAAATTAAGTTATTTGATATTCCTGCATACAAACAAGAATGGGAATTAAATCTTTACAGGTCAAATACAGACAAGATTATGTACATCTTCCAAATTTCATAATTATTCCATATGTTTTTTCTTGTTCTTTTTTCTTCTGTAACTTTCAATTTTTTCAGCTGTCCTCCCTCTGATCTTCCAGTACCATTTTGAAAATCTCTTTGAACTGTACCCAAAATGCAAATCCACCTCAGTCCCCTTCCTGAACAATTTCTTTGTGGCACAGAATGGTCTCTACAAAAATTTCAATAGTAGAAATACAATAATTCTTTAATTACAAAATCAATTCTACGAGTAATATTGAAGTTCAGCAAACAAAAGTATACCCAATTCACTGACACAGATATGATACAAGATAAAACTAATGTTATATATGTTATACATTATAGGTGTTTTGTGGAATCCTATGATGTAATTTGCAAGACAATTACACTATTGTAAGATATGCTTCATAATAAAGTCAATGAAATAATTTCTTTTTTTCCATTTTGACAATTGAATTTGGAATGTTCAAATAGTATATACTTATACAGATTTCCAAAAATTAAGAAGATTCTAATACAAATATATTATTTTTGGACAAAAAATACTACAGACAAGTAGATTGGCAGAAAAACAGACATTGTGATTCCAGAATATCCCAAACTTTGTTGGGAAGAATATAACAATGTCTATCAAATAGTGTACACATGTAGTTACCTTAATTAACTCTGAAGCAAGCCTTGGATCTTGGGATTTGTTCTTATGAGAGAGGCTGACTGTATATTGAACCTGTAAAACAAATATTCACACAGTAGAAATTTTTAAACCATAACTAAAACTTAAACTACAAAAAAAAAAAGAAAAAAAAAAAAAAAGAAAAAAAAGACAGCGTACAACTTTGTAGGTTCTCAATAGTCTTAAATATCTTACATTTTACCCAAAACTATATTCTCTAGTGTTGGAATTTTTTTTTATAATTATGTCAGTTAATGAATATATAACAGATGTAAATATCCAATGTATTAGCTAGCTGATGTATTTTCAACACATATGCTGTACTTGTACCTTGAAAGTTGGATGTTACTGTTATTATTCAATATTTAACTGAAAATCAAAAATTCAATTTACTCCCCCCCCCCCCCTTTGGAGTTATTGTATCAGTTTCATAATTCATTGCTTTTAAAGCCAGCAAATTTTATTCAAACTTTCCATATTTTAAAAGTGAAATGAATTAAAATCGTTTAATAATATATAATAAAATTGTTGAGTTATTGAGTTGGGTTAATTTTTTATGAAGTCTTGCAAACAATATAATGTAGAATTATAAAGGAACAAAAAGAAATAATCAAGAAATATTTTTTCACAAAGGAGTCATTACAGATTTTTATTGCAAGTAGACTATTTTTTTTTACCTTTAAGATTGTGATGATGCAATCAATCTGTCAAATAGGCTTTAGGATCAATCGCCAGTCTTATCACTGCTTTAAAATAGGCTTTTTGGACTCAGCACTGTGATACTGAACTCTCGTTACTGTATGCTAAAGCTATAAGCCATAAAAACAAACAATTAACATTTGTTAATAAGTTGATGAAAGAATCGACTTGATAACGATCTCAACATACATAAACACTATCTGAAAGGGTTTGGCCGTTTCAATTTTTCTACTTTCACTTTCATATCAGAACGTAACCAAAGCCGGCAAAGGAAATTTCTTTTAAAAAAATTAGTAATCCTTTAGCCTAACATGTAATGTTTATTGCATTCATTCAGAAACAAATTTATCTAAAATTACTTACAGATCACTAACGTTAGGTTTACGAAATACATTGATTTAACATTGACATGCATAATATAAGTCACAGTGATAAGAGTATCATATGTAGAAAGTTCATACGCGCCAGTAACTATAATGAAAAGATATTTAAACAATATGAATTAACAGTCTTTAAAAAATTGTTAGGAGATCTCTTACCTTTCCAAAACACCCAGCACGTCTGCTGCAGCAGTGTCAGACGTCAAAAATGACGTACAATTTTATCCGATAAAATAAAAAACCGGCCCGGAGACAAATGCGGAATTATTTTAATTTTACTGAAGAAGTAAGCCAAGCCCAATGAAAAGCAAAGTATTTTATTCTTTATCAATTTTATCTGGTAAATGTATTATAACAGAAAAAAATTGTGAAAGGTTTTTTTTAATCGGGAAAGGGGGATAAGCAGAGCAAAACTTTACATAGTCATAAGTATAATTACTAACAGATTCTTTTGAATTTAAATGTACATTTAAATTTATCTTGATATATATTATTGAAATTGCAATTTTACGTGAGTGTAACTAGGGTAAATTAGTGAACATCATTTCAGAAGATTCTCATATGATCACTGTTTCATATTTGATGTATCACTGTCAAGATATTCATATGATTCTCATATGATCATCATATGAAAGACAATGTATTATGTGGATCACATGTGGCTAAATTGCCTAATGTATTATAACAAAATACAGTTAAAGCATAAGTTTACCTAATGGGCTGTATCCCCCACACGTATGAGAAAAAACTAAACATGTGTATAACATGTGAATATGAATACACATATATTTCATATAAATTAAACATGTATAATTCATCTGTATTTTCGCACACATATATTACATATATATAACATGTGTTATACATATGTGGTGAAAATCATGTCTTTAACATATATATTATCTCACAGGTGTATTAAATGTGTATATTACATATGTTTTACATATAAATGAAACATATTTTACATGTGTTTATTTACACACACGTATTACATGTGAAAAACATGTGTTGAACACATGTGAAACCAAACACATGTTTAACACATGTGGACATTTTTCCTGTGTAGAAAGTACATGCTTGTATCCGGCTATATGAGCCAGTGGAACATATTGTTACATACCAAAATATATACTGACCGAAGTAATGTACAAGTACAGGGATGCTAGTGAATGAATGTAAAAAAAAACCACCGAACATAATTGTTTTGAGAGAATTCGAGAATTTATCCCTATTTTTCTCTTATATCATCATATATATTACACTTGCATTCTGTTAAAACTCCCAATCTGGGAATAGAATAGACAACTGGAAAAAAGTTAAAGAATGTGTAGTAATAAAAATTTGAAAAAAAGAAAGAATCACTACATCATAAAGACCTTCTGAAATAAATAATCACAAGGAATTGTAGTTATTTATGCTTCTAAGGAGTTAAGTGAAATTAATAATTAAAATAGACCTTGATTGAGTTTCTTCATTTGTGTGTGTGACAAAACCGTGTTTTTGATTGTTATTGTACATTTTTTCCGATTCTGATTTGAAAAATTTGAATATGAAAAATGCAGTAATTCCAATATTCATTTTATTTATTGATTCCCTATGTTTTGATTGGACAAAAACACTTTTTAGGAAAAAAAAGTTTACACATCAATTAAATTTTCAACCAGAAATATTTTCTTGACCAAGCTTCTGGGCTATGGTATAAACAATTAGTGCAGTTTAATTTCTGGTCGGTTTTAGCTAAATTGTGAATACAAGAAACTTCAAATTTAATTAAATAAGAGAAAACTGGCGACAAACAGGACTAACCAGCTGACAGACGTCATAGAAATAATGCCACTGTGTAAGCTGTCATATTCTCGATGTTCCTAATACGAAGAAAGTCATCTCAGTTTGTATCACGGGTGTAAATTTTTAAAATCGCTGATGTCATATTCTCGATGTTCTTAATACGACGAAAATCATCTCAGTTTGTATCGTTGTAACAGGGAAAAGAAACGTACCTCAAACACTTGCCTTATCAGCATCAAATTCATATTTACTTTCTATATTGTTCCCCAATCTTTGAACAAACCAGTGCAAATCGAAGGCGTCGTCGGTCTGCAACTTTCGCTCTGAGAGTTGTCGTTAATGTCAACATGGCCATGGTCAAGGACAAACTCTTAATTACGATAATTACGACATTTGTTGACTTAAACAATATTCGAGTGGTCTTTATAAGTTATTTATTGATTGTGTTTGACAATGTAAGCTGAATCCTATCGAAATTCATCTTTATTACGTTCCTTTGCGGTATAAAGTATTTCTACGCCTTCCAGAATAACAGATTGTATGGAGACTTCGAAGAGAAATAATCTCAATATCTAAAAAAATCGTTATTGGAATTATAAGAATTAAACTTAAAAAAAATATCGAATTTTAAACTCTTGACTTCTTACTCACAAACTTAACATAGAAGTGCTTCGTACTTTTATTTAGTTTAATGTCAAGAGTTTATTACACATCAATAATTTTTTTCAAAAATAACGTTTAATCCTATAATAAAATTCCCCATGATAAAATTTTTGTTCATTTAAACCAATTCTTTAAATCTAAGCCAGGAAAAAAGTAATTTCTTACAATTCAACTTATCAGAAAACCAAGATTTTGAAGTGACCATGTTTTGCATTATTGTATTGCACTCAAATTATGCCTTCTATTTAACATTGATTTGGAGATTACAACTCACAACAACAGTTTTAGTATGTATATCAATTTAACGTTGCGATATTTTTTCATAATTAATGGCAAGTTTTCCACATTTTCAAGAACTTAAATCATGGTTATTCGCAAGTGTAGTATATATATATACATTGCATTAAAAAGATTATTTTCAATGATGAAAACTATTTCCTAATTTGACTGTAAAATGATTTGTTGATATACATTCTGTTTTGAGCATCAAATAATATTGAACCTTTTTTTTCAATATGTTTTTAGAAAGATTGTTAAGGAGCAATAGTAATTTTAAAGATAAGAGGTCTGTTGCACTCCTGACTGCAGTTGAATTTATAATTAAAAACATAGAACCCTAAAGTTCATAAAGTGTTGATAAAATCAAGGGGCAACAAAATGTCTGATTTTCCCAGTACCAAGTTCATTGGTACTACCTTGAAAATACGGATACACTTTATAATTTATTCCTTTGGTAAAATTTAAATGTTTACCTTAAAATGAAGGATTATCTATATCATGCAAACATCTCTGAAACTTCGATGTATTTGGGTGCAGTCTTTGGCACCCCCCTCTCTCTTACGACTCTTCTAAGTTATTTTTAAAGAGCTTTCCTTACGTAATCCTTATTGTGCGTCATACGGCCGAGGACCACAATCTGAATATTAATAAGCTACACTTCCACAAGAAGCTCTGGTCCACACAGGTTCAGTTTCTTGGTGCAGTGGCTCTTTAGAAGGTTTTTTTTTACATAGATATCTCTATAAAATTTTGGGACATAATTTTTTACAATTTTTACAATCTAAGCTATTTCAGAAAGATTCACCTGCATGTCTTTTAACTAGTGGTTCTAGATCTTGAGAAGATTTTTTTTTCTATCTTTCAATGTAAATATTCACTTCTACTTTGTGGTCCATCTCTACCCCAGGGGCTATGATATGAACAATCAGTAGTTTTTGAGAAGACGTTTAATAAACACCGGTTTTAGCCTTACTGGTATCTTAATCATCTCCCGTTAGAAGGTTCGTAAACAATTTAGAAATCCTAAATCAAGATGTGTTCACTAGCTCTGCTTAGAACTGATCTGTGACCACTGGTTGTTGGCAAGATGTTCTAAATGCGAACATTTTACAGATCAGCGGGCGAACGACAGACAACGGGTGGCCAGAAATGCTTACTTGAGCTGAAAGTAAAATTAGATTTACTGATAAAACTTAATCAGAGGGAGGGCGTAAATTGTAAGCTAAGTGTTCACAGAAATTCTCATGATAAAAATGCTTATTTCAGTTTCAATTTTCAGTTTTATTCATCTGTGCCTTCCACACAACTCACTTCCAACAAATATGTACATTATTGTGTTCTAATATCTCTTTCTGCTCATATTTTAACAATTCATTGATAAGTCTTATGTCAATAATCAATCATATATGCAAACACACACACACTCAACCTCACACACACACATCAATCTATCAATATATAACAATTTTATTTATTGCAATTGAATAATGGCAAATTGATTCATTTTGTTTTTACTTTGAAATTACATGGATGCTGGATTACATTTACGCTAACATGACTTATTATTGAATTCATGGGTACAATCATTTACAGAAGACGGACACAGACGTTTCAACTTCTGAGAAAATAAGTATAACATACAATTTATGTGCTCTGATGAAATATTTTTATTTTAGTACCTGGAAATCTTGCCCTATCTCAGTCAAAAAGGAACATTTTAGTTTCTATTCTGATGTCGGAGAGTTACAGTTTATCCTTAAATACACAATGGGAAGAAATATCAAGAAAACTTCAAAGTGCGTTCCCGTTATTAAAGTGTGATTCAAGAATGTTGGAGAGTGATATCACTGAATTGACAGATATCTCTAAAGTATTGAGTAAGGAAAACAACTCAGTCAGATTTATATCAGATGATGTCCGCCATCAGGTAATGAGTTACTTTGTGAAGAATTGTCTGATAACTGATGAGGACTACGAGAATTATATCAAGTTGTCATCTGTGGACTCTTTGCTGGAGTACTTACGTCCATGGTGGTATATGGTAGACGATGTATTCCAACACCTCAAAAAATATTTGTTCTTACCGGAGAGTTTGGAGGATTTATTCTTTCAAAGACTTAGATTAGACGTTCTGCGTCACCCCACGATAAATGATGAGGAATGTGATGGCAAGACAAAACTTACATTCAGAGAAAAAGTGAAAGACAACTGTGAGTAACACTGCAACCGAGAATAAATTTTCATATTTTGTAGGGGAAAACAATTTTCTTAGCCCTTTTAAGGACTATAATATATGATTGTTTAATTTAAAAGTTCAGCTGACCAAAAACAAAAAAACCCTAATTATTATTATAACTGTAACTTTTTAAATTCAAAGTAAACGTACCGGAGGAAATACTTGACTGGGGATATGACGCACGATGTAGATACATAGATTGTGCTAAAAGGGGAACGAAGACAGTACACAGAGCTCGTGCAATGATTGTTGGATGCGCAGGTGCTGGGAAAACCACACTTCTAAAACGACTTGAAAAGCTGGGATTAGAGGAATTACTAAAGGTGCGCTCCACTGTTGGACTTGAGGTTCATGAAGACATGTTTGAACTGGATGAGGACTCCTGTTTAAGAGGTTTGTATAAAATATTTTTTTAAATTATCTCTTTATTCCGTGTGTAAATGGAGTTAACAATGGAAACATCTCCTGAAAAAAATAATTAATATTTCTAACCAGATTTTTTTTTATTTAGGCAATATTGCAAATATTAGTCCGCTTTACCAAAAAAGACATTTCTTTGTTTTTATTTATGTTTGTATAAATAATCGTATAAAGTGCGTTCATGGAGGCACGAGGAAATGTAATACCGTAAATCTGGAAATTTTAACGTCCATTTTATTTTGCAAATTCGGGTCAAAATGCTGTTGAATAATTTTTACGCTTCAAAATTTTGCGATTGATAACTGCTTTATTTAGATTTTCTTATTGGTAATTTATTTTTGAGAAAAATATTTTTTGCGAATGCAATGAACTCGCAAATTTGCTAAAAATTATCTACAGCAAAAATTTCCAGATTTACGGTAGCTTTCTGAATATATAGGTAAGGATCCAAATGCTCATTTTATTTTTTTACAAAGGTAGCATTGTTAAACAAGTTTTAAGTATTATACTAATTTAAAAAGTATCTATCATTATAAAGGGAAAAAACATTTATTTGATGTAATTGTAAGATGATCAATTGATTATTTAGCTGCATATTGTTTTACGTCCCTAAACATTAGTTTTACATCCCAAAACGTTAGTTCTATTTCATTTTTTTCAAAAAGCAGAGATCAGAAAACCTTATGCTGTAATAAGATGTACGCCGTCTGTCTAGCTGTCTTACGGCCTGTAAACTATTCTTAATTTTAAAATTATACCCCAACATAACTGGTGCAATGTTAATATTACTACACTGTACGTTTACATAAACTCTAATAAGATACACAAATTTGTTCATTTTTTTAATGTACTGAACCGTGATACATAGTGACCAGAAATTAAAATCTTTTAAAATCGCTACCTTTTTTGCAGTTTTAGTCTGAAATCCAAATAACCGGCTAAAAATAAATACACTTTAAAAAATATCCATAACTCTGCTTACCTGTTAAAATCTGTTTCAAGTGTAGCTAAAAATACAAATATCTGTGAAATTTACCTCCTTCCGTCCTATTCTGATTTCAATTTGAAATATTTTTTTACATAAGTGCTGAAAAGTACAGAATACTGAGATACGATATTTTTTATATAATGTTTGCTGACCACACTAAGATTTGATATTCTTTAAATCAGTATATGATACTGATAAACAGCGTTGCAAGAAGGGCTACCAAAACAGAAATTTCATACATATAAAATTCCTTGCAAAAAGCTACATATCCTACCGTTTTTCTTCAATTTCAAAAAACCATTTTTACAAATACCAGTAAACGTCAACAATATACAGTCGTATCTCTTTTTAGCATAATCACATGGTGTTACTTTGCTTACTATTTGTAGAAATCTGAAATACTCTTAAAAGGCTATTTCTACTACAACTTTTGTCAAATTGAGGTCAAGAGACTTAGGGTAAAACACAATGGATAGGCCAGATTTTTCCTCAAATTCAATTTTTCTGAAACTTTAATATTTTGTTCTAGGATACAAAATCTCTCTTTATATACAATATGAAAGAAATTCAACCACACATTTTTTTCACACATAGTCTGAAATATGGCCTATCAAACCCCCTAAGAAGATTGTGAAATCAGACATTCGACTTGAGAATGAGCCTTATTTTAGAAATATCATTTGATCTTTTACAGATTTGTGTAATACTTTTTATAAACATAACCTTTTTGTTACTTTAAATCGGTAAGTTAATAGATACTGGAGAATCTGAGTAAAATTTTCAGGAAAAATAAAACACACATAGCATCGGAATTATGCTATGGAAATATCCGACAGTTTAAGGTTCCATAAGAGGAAATGTATAATTCAATTTTTACAAAAAATCTACAGAATGATTCAAATGGGTCCTAGAATAAAATTTGTAAAAATAAAGAAAATTGAATCAGTGATTTAAGATATGTCGGAGATTAAAAAAAAATCAATGGTAAAAAATCTACAAGATTCATAAGATGACGTCATAATATTTGACCTTTGACCACTTGATATGATCTGGACCTTTGTAGTTCATAAAGGATGTAGACTCCGTATATATGTTTCCAAATATCAACTCTCTACAATTTATGGAACAAAGTTACATAGCATTTTATAACAGACTGTTACGTCCAAAATGCAAGCCCCCAAGTGACCAATATACATGTATAGGATTCTCTGATTTTTTCACAAAATATGACGCAGACATGCCAAAACCTTTTTTCTTACAGGGATCATTCATTGTTGTCAATATAGTAATATTATTCTTTTTTCTTCGTTACCTTTTAAGAAATTGGTTGAAATAGAATCCAGGGGTTATTTTTCTCCTACCTTAACCCAGGATCGTCATTCTATTTTACATAGCTGTTGCAATAGTTTTACGTTCAAGTTCTACTTTGTTAAGTAAATATCAGTGGAGCTACTGTCTCATCGACACAGCTTGTTTTATTTTAATGTAGTATTTCAACATGATGTCACCGTGCTGCGCAGCTGTTGTAACAAACTCATGTACATGTATACTATTACATAATGAGAATGTTATAATCAATACGAAGAATGAATTATTCTCAAATATTAACATATTTTATTCAAATTTTTCACACACAAAAAATTCAATTCATTTTGTAAGTCATATTCAACGCAATTTTGAATGAACATTGACATTTTTTAATATACATGACATCCATTGATGTAGGTAATTTGATAACGAAAGTTTCCATTTTCGATTAGTTCATGAAATTGTTTTTACAGCATTATCAGACAGTACAGACAAAGACGACAAGCAGATTCTGAGTGTGGTAGATTTTGGAGGACAGTGTGCCTACTACGCCTGTCATCAGGTCTATCTCAGCAGAAGGGCTTTCTATCTACTGGTGATAGACATGTCAAAATCTTTTACAGAAAAAGTTGACGAAAATAAATGTGAGCAACAAGGAACAATGTTTGCAGACTGGACATATGGAGGTAATAAAAAGTTTCAATGATAAGATAGTCAAAGTGTCTTTTATATTTTATTATTAGTATAAAGAACATTTGTTAATTAAAAACGGGAATATTTGGTGCAATAGATATAAATATTGAAGAAATAGCGAGCCTCAGTTCAAGTTTAACAAAAGCGATTTAAATATTGTGATATAAGTGATTTATATTTACAACCATTCTTTTTTTGTCCCATATAGATTTCGTTCATCAATTACACCTAAACAACTATGTATTAAGTAAACAACTAGATAATTATGTGTCGGCTGTTCCAACAATGAAACATGCCATAACGTACAAACTGATACATTTATATAATACATACTTTAATACTTAGATTCATTTTATTTGATCATGATTACTAGTATCTATACTGTCGCAAATATTTAATAATAATAATTTGTCTTGTTTCCTTAAATGCGGGATTAACGATTGCAGTCAATGCAGAAATAAAATATGAAGTCCGCTTAAGCGACCTTTTTTTCTTCCATACTCACCATATGTGCCATATATCATTTTCCTCCTCTATTTTCTTTTATTCTGTACATCCCGTTTTGAAATTAGACTATGTTAAGGGGATATACTGGAATCAGTATCCGTCTGTTAATCAGTTCCTTTAGTTGTCCGTCTGTCTGTAGACGGGATTTTGTCCGGACCTGTTCTCGGAGACTATTGCATGATTCTGTCAGAAATTCTATTCACTCATTACTCGTCTTGTAAAGATATGATTCTGGTCTTTTCATCATAGTGAAAAAAAAATAATTTATTTAGTCCGGTGGTTTAAACGAAGACTAATGCAAGGAAGGTTTTCTGTCTCATTGTTTTCTTTAAGAGCATTTAATATTAAGCAACAGTTCTCTGTATCCTTTGAAAATTATACAGACACGGAACTGATGATTTCTTTAATGTAATTTATAGCATATGTCGCTTGTGGTTAAAGTCAGTTCGATTAAGGAATATCCTCTTTCGTTCTTTTGTCTTTTGCAATAGAAGCAATAGAAGGTGATTAAAAAAACTTTTATGCGCTAAAAGTAATGCGTAAATAAAACTTAAAAGCTTTACTTAATTTGTTCAGAGAGTTGTGTAGAAAATCGTAGTTAAATAATTGATGTCTTTTTTTCATTTTAAAATACTTGTCAAACCCGTTCAGTTAAAATTATTCACAATTATATTTCGTGTTGTTATTTCAGAGTATGTTTTATTTTGGCTGAAATCTATTCACACGTACTGTGCTGAGGACACATCAGTCATTATTGTAGCTACACACAGTGAAAATGTTACACAGAAGGTAATATGTATACATGCTACATCAGAGTGGAAGTCTTTTTTTTCTTAGTTTAGAATGGAGGATATATTGGTACTTTAAAACTGTACAAATATATTTTGCTGCATTAGAATATGACATCATTAAGAGAGCTCGAGGTTATGTGTAGTTGGAATCAATATTTTGATAATATTATTTTATTTTTATTGTTATGGGTCAGAATTACCCGAAATGCCAGCAAAGATCAATAACACAATTTAAACTTAACAATAATTTATTTACAGTAATATATCATAAGTATATGAAACATAAAGTATAAACTTAGCAAGAATCTAAAAATACATACATCAGAGTGTCCGTTGCTGCACACAATGTCCCAGTGAAAATATATCCCAGTAATACCTCAATGATGCTTATACGACAAATTATATTTATGCATCGAATTGACAGGGTATTTATACAGTATCATAAATCTAGAATATTCTAGAAATTGTTAAAACATGATCTGGACATACACAAAATTTAAGAATGTTCTAGATCAAATGACCGAACATGTTGACCACTCTGGAATGTTCAAGAAACTAAATGTTACTAATGATATACAAGATGAAACAATACAAATACAACACATCTCACAACACCTCCCCCCTTAATAAGTTTGAATGTCAATGAAAACTTATATTATTAAAACATAGGTACATTAATACAAAATTTATTATGTTTACGATACTCTTGACAAGGCATCTGCAATAACATTGTCTTTGCCTTTGATATGCTTAATTGTTATGTTGTATTCCTGTAACAACAAACTCCATCTAGTCAGTCTTTGATTCTTATTTGACAATTTATGCAAAAATGTCAGGGGGTTATGATCCGTATATACAAGAATTGGATGCAAAGTAACATTCAGATAAACATCAAAATGCTGTAAGGCTAACAACAAAGCAAGGCATTCCTTTTCAATAGTGGAATACTTTTGTTGACATTTTGAAAGTTTCTTTGAAAAATAAGAAACAACTCTATCTACCTTATCACTATGTTCTTGAAACAAAGCTGCCCCGATTCCAACATCACTAGCGTCAACAGTAAGCTTATATTGCTTAGAAAAATCTGGAGTTGACAGAACTGGATTACTCATAAGGACAGTTTTGATTTTATGGAGGGATTTTTCACAGTCCTTTGTCCATTCAAATTTAACCCTCTTTTGTAAAAGATTTGTAAGTGGACTAACAACTGAGGAAAAATTTGGACAAAATTTTCTGTAAAACCCAGCCATGCCCAAAAACCTCATTAACTCTTTCTTGTTTGTAGGAATCGGGAACTTTGCAATAGCTTCCACTTTAGCCATTATGGGTGTAACATAACCTTGACCTACTTTATGACCTAAATACTCTACATAAGCATGACAAAATTCACTCTTTTCAAGGTTCACAGTTAAATTTGCTTTAGCTAAAATGTCAAATAAAGCACGCATGATTCGGATATGTTCGTCCCATGTGTTGCTGTATATGATGACATTATCAATGTAGGCCTCGCAACCCTCGAGGTTTTGAAGAAGGGAGTGAATCATCCTTTGGAATGTAGCCGGTGCGTTTTTCATGCCAAAAGGCATTACTTTATACTGGTAAAGTCCATCTGGTGTAGCAAAAGCAGATATTTCTTTTGCTCTTTCTGTTAACGGTACTTGCCAGTAGCCTTTCAACAGGTCAAATTTACTGACAAATTTCGCATTTCCAATGTTGTCAATACAGTCATCGATTCTAGGTATTGGATATGAATCAGTTTTGGTAACAGAATTCACCTTTCTAAAGTCTGTACAACTGTTTCCATTAAGAAAGAGGATTTTCTATTCGTGTCCTCTTTTTTGAATTCAAAATGAAAAATGAAGACAATGCAATTTCAGCAATCAACAATTTTTTTAATTCATTGCCATTATTGAATACATTGAGAATTGGTGAGAACACCAATTTTTATGTGAAAACAGACAAATTATTAATCGGTTTTCTATATTAACAGTCAAAAATTGGTGAATGCACCAATTTGAATTATCAATATCTTCAAATAAATATTGATCTTGGTGGCTCCACCAAGAAAACAAGAGTGAATTTACAATACTTAATTCTCTAGTTAATTCTACGAATTAGTGAACTAACCATACAACAACTTGGTGAGTCCACCGAAAATACGTAAACAAATGCCTAAGATTACATAAAATAGATATAGCAAGTGTATCATATCAGTAGTGGGGAATTTGGTGGTTCCACCAAAAAAATGAATGTGGTGAAATTACCGATAACATTTTTAAAATGACGTTGGTGAATCCACCAGTTTTAAAATACTGAAACAACCCATTGAGAGAAACTGAGTTGTAGAACCACATAAAAAACGTCCTTTATACAGAGTCGGTGCACTCACCAAAATGCAAAAATTCAACTAACAACACATTCATAAATTTTTCTCACAAATACTTGGTGGATCCACCAAAAATGCAAATTGAAATTCACAAGAATGATTAAATGATACACTGTCAAGATTTCCTTGTATTCACTAACAGTGAGCAGTTTGGTGGATCCACCAAAGACATTAAAATAAATTTAAAGGCAAACATAATTTTCTTGTAAAATAACTAAGCGACACTTTCTTAATACATTTATGAACACAAGAACAAAAACCTGGTGGGTCCACCAGAAAATTCGAAAATCTTCATGTAACTCAAAGATAACAAATCTGTCTCTAAATATAGAAAGTCGTTTGGTGGACTCACCAACCTGTAGAAAAAAAAATTCCTAAGCCTTCTTAATTATACTAACAAACACTTGGTGGACCCACCAAAAACAAACCGAATACTTGAATGATATATTATCAGCATTGCCTAATTTTTTAAAGTGGGGAATTTGGTGGGTCCACCAAAACATTAATAAAAGAAACATTTGTAGATTTCCAATTACAATGACTAAGTTCCTTTCTAAATATATGAAAAAAAGTTGGTGGATTCACCAGAAAACGTCGAAAATATACATCTTACCCTCTCATTACTTTTTGTTGATACATTCGCAATTCAATAATAAGTGGAACTATGAACATGTGTTTAATAAAATTATAAAATACAATTTCAAAGATGTGTATACATTTTCAAAACAAATGTGAATCCTCTAATTAAGGCAAAATGTTAAATAAACATTATATAAGATAACCTGCTATCTACTGCTTTATTTGCACGTTAATAAAGAGAATAAAAAACAAATCTTTCCCTATTTTTTTAAACAGAAAAATACTTAGTTTGTTTCTTTAACTCCCCTGTGATTTTGGCGATTTTCCGTGTCTGCACTACTGTATTACACCTTCTACAATGGGATGCGAACCCTTGCTTGACACTTAAGCAAACTACTAACATCGAAGTCCAAAATATATTATTAGGCTAAATATTTCAATTCATTTACTCTCTCTATGAATTTTTTACTGAAGCAATAAAAATACATTAACTTTAGTACTCTCAAATACACATTTAGCTGCACAAGAAAAAGTGGCAACCATGAGGATCAACACCAATAAAAATATTAAACACAGCACAACCTTTAAAAATAGATAATAAATTCGTCATCTATAGACTATGTAGTCATTCCAAATAGAATTTAAAATTATACATCCAAGTCCAACAAAATCACAATCGCAAGAGTTGATATAATACATTTTTATACCTAACATTGATGTCCCTTTTTCACCTCTATGACGGCGTGGTTTGCAAGAGCTAAAGTCCGAATTACATGTACACTGTACTGACTTTCTGCAAATTCTGTTTGGAAGGTGGGTTTCCATTTTCCAGTTGGTTGGTTACATTGTAATTAAATTCTAGTGGTTGGGGCTTGATCTGTACGATTTTTCTTCTGATATGAATTTTCTTAGACACGTTTTAGCCATCCTATCATAATTAAACTATTGAGTACGTAATTCCCCCTGATTTTTCTTGAGTAAAAGAACAACTTGTGCTTTAAAATGTGAAAGCTATCATCACAATATAACACCAGTGATATCTTGTTTAACACTGTTTTCTGGTCTCTTTACAATTGTATTTTTAGACATCTCTGTGTTTTCTGTTTTTAATCCCGAGACAGCTTGGTACGTAGTTGCAGTAATGCTGGACTTATCACCATCATCTTATGCCCTATGATAAAAGTACATGTACAAAGTCTGTGTATGGTGCACAAAATTTTAATGTTTCATATTTTCGTGTTTTTTTTCATATATTTTATAGAATTTCATATTTCAAACAATTAATTGAATTCATTTCAAACAAACAGAATTTGTGAAAGAGGCCCAAAGGCCACATTGCTAATATTAGATTAAAGAATTAAATAAGAAAGCTTTCCTGGGATTTAAGTTCAGTTGCATTGCCCTCACCCTAGGTAGATGCTTTGAACATATTTGTATCTACATGTCTTAAGGATGCTTTTCAATATTTTTTTTTAATTTCGGCATTTCTACATGTAGTCTAAGATTTAAAAATAAAAATCCTGATATTTCTTTCTTGCATAACTTTGATGTACTGTTAAACCTGCACACTACCGGCAGGGGTTATAATTTGAAGAAACTTGAGATAACCTTATATTCTATTTTCGTAAACCTTATCATAATATCAAAGTAATTTACAAAAGGTTTTAAGTGAAGATTACGGAAGATTTTGTAACCATATAATGTACGTGTACAAATATAAACGCATTCAGTTTGTACTAACAAAGAGCTTGTTCGGAGGGGTGGGGGCTACAAAATTAACTTGACAGAGGGAGGACACAAATAAAACAGGAAACCACATACTGATCTTCATAAAATTATAAACCCATTTTGTACTTGTTCCTTTTATTTATCTTGATACTTCAAAACATGATCTTCACTGCATAAACAAACTATCCATCAAGACAGAAACATAATTATTCTTCATACATGTGTATTACCTATCTCACAAAATAAATGCGACTTACCGTTGTAAAGCCAACATATTCTTTTTGAATTCTTCCAAATGTCTTCTT